GAAGACTTAGCTCAACTCTCCACTCCTGGATGTGCCGCCCTACACCCTACTACTTGGTATCCACACTCCTTTCCACCCTGACCTGTCACCTCTGGGAAAAGGGCTGAAGAGCAGTAGGAGCCTAGCTTCCCTCCAGCAGCCTTCTCTGCTGCAATGAGGACAGGCCGAGGGAGGCTGCCTGTGGCATGGCTCTGGATGTGGCTGCTCAGTTCCACCAGGGGGTGAGTCCTGCTGCCCTCTGGGCTAGTCCAGGGCAGAGTGATGGGTGGGCTGTAGGAGGGGCCCCCAGAAGTGAGAGGTGGGGCTTAAGGTCTTCCCAAGAAGAGCCATAAATGTCACGTGTCTTTTGAGAGAATGAGATGTTCTGGCAGGTATGCTTTCTAGTTTTTATGTTTGCTTTATTTATCTCTTTTGTTGTTTTCCGGGTATCTCATGGTGGGGTCCTTTTCCCCTATTCTCAGCCCATGTGGCTGACATGGTCTGCCTCATCTTTGGCAACAGGGGTGGTCATGTGCTCAGCCCTGGCCAAAGAGCCCTCCTTCTAATGTTCCCTGCACTACCAAGGAAGAGATGCTCTTCTCCCGTGACCTGGGCACCAAGGATCCAGAAGCCTGGAGACGCTGGAGGCCGCTGTGGCCCCCACACATGAGGGAGGGCTTTATTGAGGCAGAGAGAAATGGGAGGAAAGGGTGTCAGATGTTGGTATATATTCTGTTTCTCTCTGGGGTGACAGGTCCCAAGAACGAGGTGCCTGCAAATGAAAAGAAAAACAAGAGAGAGATAGTTATGGGATCAGGAGGCTGCAGCCTCTTGAACTGAAGTCTGGATTACTACCCTCCTTAGCCTTTTGTTGGGATACAAACAAAAAGCAGCAACAGGGCAAATGGGAGGAATCATTAACAGGATTGGCGAGAACAATACAACTCAATTATCACAGGAATGAGACTTAGTTAGCCGTCATGTTATCATTCCTTCAGGCATATCTCAGCAAGGTATCTAGTGTCATCCTAGTGGCTTTCCACAGGGACACAGGTGCTGCTATCCTTTCCTTCTAGACTTCCTCTAGAATCAAACAATCATATGGCTTGGTCAGGCCTGAAGTCCCAGATAGGTAATACATTGAAAGACAAACTAAAGAATGTCCTTCTCCACAGTCAGACGTGGGCCAGGACCTAGACTTCTTATCACTGTGGGCTGATGCATTATCTTCTTTATCTAGGTTGGTGTGCTCGGATACATGTCACTCAAAGCTGAAGGAGTCTTGTGTGGCAGAGGCAGCCACTACCCTGAACTGCCAAGTCATCCACTGAGGCTGCTACAGCCACATTTACAGCTCTTTTCTATGGTCTCCCCTCATTTAGGAGCTTGGGACTCCCTATCCTCTCCTCCAGGCTGGTACACAGGTACAATGGACTGAATATTTATGCTACCAACAAACTTATGTGTTAATATCCTAACCCCCAAAGTAATCTACTAGGGGGTGGAGTGTTTGAGAGTGATGAAGTCATACAGGTGGAGCCTGGTGAATGTGATTAGCACCTTTATGAAAGGGACCCCCCCCCCCCCCGCAAACTCTCTCATTCTCTTCCTGTTGTGAGAGGATAGAGGAAGATTGCAGTCTGCCCTTTAGAGGAGGGGCCTTACCAGAACCCTACTATGCTGGGATGCTGATCTTGGACTTCTAGCCTCCAGAACTGTGAGAAATGTCTGCTGTCTATGCCACCCAGGCCACAGCAGTTTGCTGCAGCAGCCCGAGCTAAGACAGCAGGAAAGTGTCCAGCAGCTGTTGTCTCCTAGGAAGGAAAGTTGGCACCCATGTGCTCCTTGCTAGGACCAACGGCATGTAAAGCCTGTTGCTAATTGTAAGGGGCAGGGAAGGATGCATCACCCAGTACTATGCTGCCTCATTCTCTGATTTAATGAGAATTAAAATTAAATGATTCTCATTAAAATTTAATGAGAATTAAAATTCTGGGTCACCCAGAGACCCCAACAACTTTTTTGGTAGCAAGAGCGGCCTTTACGATTGCTCGTGGAAATGACTGCCTTTGATGAGCTGGCCCCAAGGTCCCGAAGACCCCTTGGACTTCGGTTGAGGGGATTAGGCCTCATGTGAACTGTAGGGATGAGGGCTCTGCACCTGCCACAGCCAAGTTCATCTTTTCTACTCTGTGCACCAGGCTAGGTCTCTTTATAGGGCCTCTTGCTTCTTTCTTTGATTGCTTTCTTGGAGTTTTGTGTTTTAAACAAGGCTGGTTTGCAGAATTGTGCTGCCTTTGGTTCAGGAGGTGCTCCTTTGCCAGCTCTGGGCTTTGGGGTAATCCTTTTGCCTGAATAACTGGCGGCTGTCTATGGTTGAGCCCAGGGGGAGCTGACCCCAGCAATGCCTGGATGCCAGCCCGGCCTTGCCCCGTCACACACAAACAGCTCCACGAAGCCCCTCTACAACAAGCAGGAGAAAACAAAGACCAGGGGACAAAGCAGATTTATTTGAATTTTCTCTTCAAACAAACATTCGAAAAAAAGAAGACACGCATTTGCATTGGGAAGTGTCATTCTGAGAATCAGCCACAGTGCTACATTTCCCAGAGCGGGTGTGACCGTGGCCTCTTCTCCAGATCTTGGGACCCGGGAACCTTAATATCCAACTTCTGCACCCTCAGGGTCCCTTCAACATGTCTCTTTCCCCACCATCTCTCCTTCCTCTGCCTTTTGCTGTCACTTGCTGCTCCCATATTTACCTCTGTCTCCTCCACAGCCAAGCTTCCAGCAAAACCAACCTCCTCCCTGAGGACCACTCACATCCTTCCTCTTCTTCACATTCCACCTCTGAACTCCTCACGGTCTCACCTGCTCCTGTCCCTATCCAGAGAGCATTCCCTTGCTCAAGGAACACCCTGGGGATCAGAGAACCTGAGCCTGGTCCTTCCACCTTTTGGCTGTTTGGGTCTCAGATAAAAGCTAAGCATCCCCTACCGGAAAATCTGAAATCCGAACTACTCCAAAATCCAAAACTTTTGAGCAATGACATGATAGTCCCCACTATGAAACACTGCTGAATGCACAAAATTATTTAAAATGTTGTGTAGAGTTACCTTCAATCTGTGTGTATAAGGTATATATGAAATATAAAGAATTTCAATTTTATACTTGTGTCCCATCCCCAAGATACCTCACCATGTACACACAGGTATTCCAAAATCTGAGAAAGAATCCAAAATCTGAGAAAGAATCCAAAATCTAAAACACTTTCAGTGTCCAAGAACATAAGGGACATTCAACCTGTATTTTTAGGGTTTGGTTATCCCATGTCAACAGGATATGCCCTGAAAAGTAAAGAAATAGTACAGAGTGCAAGCAGGTCACCTGTGGGCCCTTGGGTACTACCGCTCTCAGCTCATGCCATTTTTCACCTACTGGAGGTAGCACTGTGCTTTTAGCTATTTGATTGCCGTGGTGAAGTGTCTGCCATGGTACACTGGTGAGTGGGGCTTTATCATGGGGATGCAAGTCCCTGCTCATGCTTATTTGGTGAGCTTTTCTAGCCCATAGCACCAGTCAGGGCTGAGTACAAAGCAAGTGCTCAGTCTAAAATGTATTGCTGCGTTGATTCAAGTTTCCTTGGACACATCGACCAGCAGCGCGATGGTGACATCGCACAGTCAGGATGGTGGAAAAACACAGGCCTCCTTGTTCAGCCTCCTGAACGTGACCTCCAGCCAGAAGGGCAACCTGGCAGCTTGGCCCAGGGCCCTGACACTCACCCAGCAGTCCCAGGGCTCAGGACCATCTGCTAAAGGATTTCACTTTCCCACTGGAATAAAACTAGCCACAGAATGGGTGGGAAATATGGCCTTTTTTTAGATGAGCCAATCAGATGAGAAAAACAATTTGCATGCAGATCCAAAATAGGGACACTGCCATGTTATAAACCCAAGTGTGGGGTCAACTCTGAGCCACTTGCACAGCCACACCAAGGACCCCTGTCCGGGGAATCACTGTCTCTAATGTGGGATCCTCACTTCCTGAGCTCAGCACTGCACCACCAAAGGACCTTCAGCTTTGGTGCCTTCTCTCTGTGTTCACCATGCAAACCTCACAACCCCCTGAGAGAGATCTCCATTCTCTTCCTGGAAACCTCCTAGTGGTTGCAGAAGATGAGAAAATGATCTCACCCCTTCCAAAAAGCCTATCACACAAATGTTATACAGAAAACATGTGTTGGATCCTTTTCCTTCCCACCAACATACCCCACAACCCCTATACACTCAGGTATGTATTATACTTGATGAAATTCACCTTTTTTTTTTTGTCTTTTTAAGACAGAGTCTCACTATGCAGCTCAGGCTGGCCTTGAGCTCACTTTGTAGCCCAGGCTGACCTCAAACTCAAAATGATCCTCCTGCCTCAGCCTCCCGAGTGCTGGGATTACAGGTGTGCACAATCACGCCCTGCTTCACCTTCTTATTAATATAACCTATCCTTTGGGGATTCACTCAGGGCAACACCATTGTGAAAACTGCACTGTACAGTTAGTCACAGTAAAACAAAACCAGTCACTAGAGAAATAATTCAAGAGCTACCTCAATTGGCTCTTGCTCAGACAGTATCAATTCTCCAGTCACTCAAAGTGGGGTTGCCTTTCCCAGGCCCATCAGTGGGATTAGAACCAACATCCCAGGGGCATTCCCATTCCGATTGACCCCAAGCCTGGAAAAGCTGGTACAATATTTTGCTTCAAATCCATCTAGGGTATAATGTGTAATATATAAGCAAGTGCTTCCAATCTGTGTTGCTTGGGAGTTTCCAGCTGAATGTGAATGCAGCCTTCATGGTGCTCCCAGAATTTTCAGGGGGACCCTTTCTCAGAACAAAGGCTCTGTCTGCCTAGTTCCTGAAATCATGCCTGGTTACACTGAAGCATACATAGAAAGAAGATGGAACCAAAAGGGGACAGGTGACTCCCATCGATGGCTAAAGAATTTGGTGAGAACCACCAGTACAATGCACTGTTTATTGCATGGGCCCCCTTCCTGGTGATCAGGGAACCATGTGTGTATATCTTTGGTATCAAGCAATGTGATCCTATGCCTTAGGAAGGGTGGCTTAGAAAAGAGAAATGGACAAGATTTTGGATAAGGGATGTCTTCCCAAGGATCTCTTCTCCCAGAGGCACCCGGAAGCCAAGATTTCTTCCTTCAACGTGATCTCGGGGGAAGGGCAGCCTCAAGGCCTCAGCACATGGTGCCGAGGTCCAGCTGCCGCAGCATTTCCTTCAGAAACCTCTGCAGCCTGCTGAGGGCCACCACCTCTGTGGAGTAGACTGACTCTTTGAGGGCACCATCCAGGTTCCGCAGCGCCTCTGGGCCCCTGGTGTACGGCAGAGGGCAGCCCTTAGAGGAGGCCAGCATGCGGATAAGATTCCGGAGATTTTCCAGGTCATTCGATATTTGCCCTGTATTGCGGGAAGACAGGTTGATGATGATCTCTTGATAGACTGCTAATGTCTTGTCCATCTTGAGGAAACTCAGGTCCGGGTTACGAGGAATGAAGTCGAAACCAGAGACCTTGTGTTTAGAGGACACTGACTGCTGCACAAGAGGAAGAGGGAAAGCAAACGCTCAGCAGGTGGGGAGAGAGACTCTCCGAAGCCCTCCACCACCCCTACGCGTGTGGAAGACCACTGGCTGTGCCGAGCCTCTAAGCCGGTCTCCTAGATTCCTGCCCATCCCAAACCATCCCACCTCCCACTTCTGGATATTCTTTTTGGGATATTCTTTTCTTCAAATCACCTCTGTGAAGAAACAGCCATGGCTTTCTGTTTCTTACTTAGTTGAATCTCTTCCCAGGCATCTTAGGTCCTCCCTAAGCGCCCCCTCCGCCCACCGCTCTCATTCGCTTCCACCCTCAGCAAATTCTTCCTTCCCAGTCAAGTTCTCATGCAGTCCCCGCTCCTTAATGGTCAGGGTCACACCACACTGAGCGCCCCATAACAACCATAACGGTAGAGATTATATGATGTTCCATCATTCTAGATATGAGAGCAAGGCTTAAAGGCACCAGCGAACTCACTTAGCATCTCACAGATGGAGAGCAGATGTGGAAAGATTCATACTTCATCTTCATAATTCCAAATACAGACCATCTGGGAAACGGCTAAAGGTCTAGCCTGTCAGACCCCAGAGAAAACGCCAGGTGGGCAGCAGTAGCTGCCCCTGTGCCCATGTTGCAAATGTGCAGAGGGAAATTCACTTTCCCCGGGTGGCCTTGAAAGCAGAACCCGAAGTGATGGGAGGAAGCTGCGGCGAAAGCCCCAGGAACCCTAATGATATGCACATCTAGGGATGGGCCAGGCCCAGGGCGGATGTGGCTGGGGTCTGATCACCTGCCAATGGGACAAGGACCTTCATGGCTCTCTCTGGTTCTGAGCGCCAGACACTGAGGTCAGGGAAGGAGGACAGTAAGCGAGGCAGAGGCAGGGGAAGAAGAGAAAAGGCAGTGATGTGTGTGAGAGGGAGGAATCTAGACTACACGGCACTTCCACGTCACTGCACACGCCTTCGCTGACTTCTGAGGTCAGGGATTCCCTATGGTGGCTTCGTGATATCCTATGATTTTTTTAATGGGAGCATATGGCAAAGTTAAATGCTCTTAAAGTGGTGAAGAATTAGAACCACTCACGCCTGAATCCCAGCAGGCAGAGGGGCCAAGAGAAACAACCAGAAGGAATAGGAGCCCTGTGCTTTCAAATCCTCCTCAGCAATTGGTGCCCAGCACTCAGAAGGTGTCACAAGTGCTTCTTGGACTACCTGGCTTCAGGCCACCCTTCAGCCAGTGCAGGGCTAGCTATAGTCCACTCTCTCTCCCTAGTCCCTCCTTACCATGTGGGAGATGTCATTGATCCTGGAGATAATGGTCTTGACGAGGGTCTTGGCGTCATCTTGGACTTTTTGGATGGGCACAGCTTGAATGTAGGATAGACAGAGCCAAAGCCACAGGAACTGGCACAGGGGTCCGCAGCGCATTTTCCTTCTCAGGATGAGCTTTTTGGGCCTGAAAACAGAAGAAACCACAGGTTGCAAGAGGCTGGTATTTCAAAGCACACCCACCTGCCCTGCTACACATCGCACTGTCAGATGTGCTTGAAAGTGAAGTTTGCTTCCTGCCCTGGCTACTATTTACTGAAAGTCAAAGACAATTCATTATCTAGACCTACATTAATGAGATGCATCCCCTTGGGTAGAGGATTATTGCTTAGTCAATAAAACCACAGTGATCTGTCCGGTAGACCACAGAGCAGTGAGCTCAGGCATGGTCAAATGGATGTTGTGGTGACAGTGGGGGTTTCACTGCGTGCTTTGAGGGAAAGAGAACAGGCTGTTGAGGTCTGAATCCAGTCATTTACTCACTGCATATCGTATAACCGCTCAAAACTCTGCTTTGATCTCTATAATATATCTATCTCCAGGCTTTTATGAAGATCAAATTAGATAATGTATGTGAAACTGCTGAAAGGAGTTGCAAAATGTAGTCTTCTACTCCCCTATTATTAAAGATGATGTTACTCCCTTGATTTCCCCATTACTCTCACAGCAGCCTGCAGCTACATCTGGGATGGCTTTCGCACTGCTTTCTTATCTCCTTCCTCTCCCACTGGGAGCCTGAATCCAACCAGAACTTCTCCACCGTGTAGTCACAAGTCAGACACAGTGCTAGACACCAGGAATGCAAGAGTGAGTCACAGATTCCCTTATCCTGCGGCATCCACAGCATAACAGGAGAGATACAAGTGGGCCCTCACAAGACGGCAAGACAGATATTTCCATGGAGAGAAAGTATGCGATATCACAGGAGCCTGAGGGGTCTCCCTGGAAGAGGAGTCGCATTCAGCTGGGTAGTGAAGCCTGACAAGTTGGTAAGAGTAGAAAGCGGTTGTCACAAGTGGCCAAGAGATCAGTGGTGCAAAGGCATCGAGGCAGGAGAGAACATAACATGTTCACCCAGGATGCTGGAGACCATCAGTATGGTGGAACTGTGAATTCTAAAATTAATAATATGCAGATCCTTGATTAAGCAGCAAAATTTTAATGAGATACATGAGGCAAAAGGTAATTAAGTTAAATATATGCAAGTCTGTAGCCAATGATCCATGCTAAGTGTGTGTGTGTATGAGTCTGAAATAACAATAAAATGGAAGTAAATATTAAGATGAAGAGTCGAGGAGGGCAAAAAAGTTAATTCCTGCTTTTTGTGTCCTTCCTCATCCAGGTCTTGAAGTGGACAGGTAATGCATTTTCTTCCCGGAGGTGGCAATATTCATATAATTCATTTTTTGGCAATACAATAAAGATAAGCAGTCTGTTATATATTATTTATAATGGTTGATCAGAGGTTTCTTTTTTTAGTCTGTTTTACAGGAATGAAAAAGAATGGGGCTCAGGAAGATGAGCTGACTTCCCCAAAGTAAGACTGATGTGTGGCAGAGCTAAAATACTTGCGGCACAGAATTAAGTATCCTAGCCCTGCCCCCACCCGTGGTTTTGCTTTCCAAGGCTTTAGTTATAGTCAGCCATAGCCCATAAATATTAAATGAGAAAAATCTAGAAGTGAATAATTCCTAAGCTTTAATGGCACTATTCTGAGTAGTGTGCTGAAGTCTTGCCCCTTCTCACTCCATCCCACCTAGGAGGTGAATCATCCCTTTGTCCAGCAAGGCCACGCTGCAGACACTACCCACCCACTCATCACTTAGTTGCTGTCTTGATTATCAGATTAGCTGCCATGGGATCACAGTGGTTGTGCTCAGGTAACCCTTAATTAATTTAATAATGGCTCTAAAGTACAAAAGTAGTGACATAAAGGAGGGTAAATGTGGAAGGGCAGATCAGTTCTGGTACTATGTGGTCATGCCACAGGGCATATGGAGGAAAACCTAGTAGATACAGGGTTCAGCATTGCCTGCAATTCCAGGTATTGGAACATATCCCCCCCAGAGAAGTAATACCACCGTGCTCCTCCCCCATACAATTCCCTGCGGCCCTAGCAAAGGTAGGAGGCATGGTGTTTAGGTCCTGAGGCTTCTGCAGCAGACTCTGCCCTTATTAGCTGTGTGCCTCTGGGTGAGATATGCAATTCCCAAAGCATCTGTTCCTATCAGTAAAATGCAGCTAATTCCACCACCTGGCCCAAAGGGTCAGTGAGATGAACCTGCGGAGTTCCTGCGCACAGTGTCCTGTGTCTGGTTCCAGGCAGGGGTAATAAATGTCAGCTGCTTGAAAATTACTACTGGGCATGGCTTGCAATGCTCAGGCCAGCACCACCTGTAGCCAACTCTGAGTCGAGCATTTGGCTCACTGCTCCCCACAGGCCATCCCAACAGGGCACCTGGTATTTCTGGGTTTCAGAAACCCAGCACAAGATTAAGTTGCATTCTTTTCTAGATTCATGTGTTGAATACACCCTCCTTCCCGAGAAAATTTATTGCCAGATTAACTCTGGTTGTATTATAGCCATTTTCACATAATGGCCACCCTCTAACTCCTGAATGGAGAGCAGGTTTACAAGCCCCTCTATCACCGCTGATCATATGCTTCAGTGGATGCTGAAAATAAATTGCAGTTCCTTGAAAGCATGGAATTGAAAGGTAGTTGCTGAGTAAGTCAGCTAGAAGGAGGGGCCAGGCTTAGGGGACACCCACTGGGGCTGCAGGGAGATGGCAACAGGTCCATCTGACATCAAAGTGAGGGCAACACACTGCACATTACATGCACACACACACACATGTGGGCATGCACACACATCAGTACATATCGGCCTTGCAGTGGAGGCTGCTGGTGGTCCCCAGTGCCTGGTCTTTTCTTCTTACCCCTTTGTGGAAATACAAATGTGTGTGGCTACGCAGAACAAACCCTATATGTCCCAGCTTCTCCCAGTAGGTGTGGCTATGCAGTTAAACCCTGGCCAATTAAATAGAAGCCCAAGTGCTGTGAGACAGCTCCCAGGTCCCCACTGTGTGCCTTTGCCTTCTGCTTTCTCACCCTTTCCTCCATTCTAGTGCCTGAAGCGGGGAGGTGGTAGCAAGCATTCTAGCACAGGGTCTTGCTATGCAGTTCAGGCTGGCCTTGAACTCACTTTGTAACCCAGGCTGGTCTCGAACTTGCAATGATCCTCCTGCCACTGCCTCCCGAGTGCTGGGATTACAGGCATGAGCCACCTCACCTGGCGCTAGCACCATCTTGACCCTAAGGGTGAAGGCCTCCCTTGTAAATGACAGACAAGATGTTGCAAGTGCCTTAGTGCCTGAGGCCTCTGCAGAGCTAAGATGCATCTTCCCTTACTTCCCTTACTTCACTTTGGACAACCTGGCTCTGGCTTTGTGCTTTCTGTGTGTGAGAGCTGCAATGTCTGCCTTGTTTAAGCCACTGTTCTTCTGGGTCTCAGCTGCATGCAACCAAAGTTAATTCTGACTGACTAGTGCACCCCAACGTGGACATCATCAGAAAAGAATGGACGAGTCTTCCTAGGTTCCCCTGAGTCTCAGTATCTGCGTGGGGCCTGGCCCTGGCCCGAGAAAGGGGGAGAGAGTGGCTGGGAGGTGCAGGGACCCTATAGGCACAGGGATGCTTCAAGACAGCAAGTGCAACTTCACTAGACATAGTTCCTGACAGACAGCCGTTGCTCAGGACGCATTTGTTGGCTGGCAGCTAACATCCATCGAAGGCCCATCGTGGGCCAGGCACAGCGATGAAAACATGGACCTCAGGAAGGTGGGGAGAGAGCTGAGGTGGGGAGGGGTGGGCCGCAGGCTAAAGGCCTCCTCAAGAAGCATAGGTAGTGTATCACACTAATTTTGTCAGCTACTTACATACATTATTGATGACAAATTAAAGAACAAAATGGTGTTCTTTGAGCTTAAGAATTTACATAATTAATTTCAGCACAAGGAAGAATACTTAAAAAGATAAGATGCTTTGGGTAATTAAGGAAAGGACATCATTATGCAAAATTTACGAACCTTAGAGCCCAGCAGATCTATGTTTGTGCTCAGGTACAAGACCTGGGCAAAGCATAGTGTTAAGTGAAATAGATCATTTACACAAGCTTAAATATCACATGATTTCTCTTATAGGAGAAATCCAAATTATAAATAAAAAGCAAAATAAAAGATAATAGGAAGTAGGGAGAGAGATCTTTCTCAAATGGGAAGGGGATCAAGAGATGGAGGGAGGGGAGGGAGAGGAGGGGAAGGGCATGAAAGGGAATTAAAATGTGTTGTGTGCGTACCCCGTCTCCACATAAGAAATGCGAGCATTATAGACCACAAACATGTACTAACACAGACCCAGGCAAAGTCCCTGCACTCCTGAGACTCACTTTCCTTAGCTATACAACAGGGATGACAGGAATCACAATTCCCACTGTTGCTGCTGTGTGGATAAACTCAGGTGGTGCATGTCAAGTGCCACCTCTGCCTGGCATGTAGCCTGGCATGTCAAGTGCCACCGCTAGCCCAACACAGGATGCTGGGCTTGCTTACTTCCCAGACGCAGTCCCACTCTGCATCTCCCTCATACCTCTCCTTTCTCTGTATCTGCTATCTTCCTTGCTAGCTTTTCTGCAGACTACCTACACTGTGGAATACTATTTACCCATAAAAGAATGAAATTCTGTCATTTTCAATAACATGAGTGGAACTGAAGGATTTTAGATTAAGTTGACCTCAAAGAAGCAGAGATGTCTTTTCTTTATAAAGTTACATAGCCTCAGGCACTTTGTTATAGTAATGAAAACAAACTAATAGACTTGAGACATTTTCGTCTTTCTGAATATTTTTCACTGAATTTCATCCTTACTACTGGTGATACATTTGAGAGTTTCTGTACATTTTTCAAATGTTGGTCACAATATATAATTTGAGAATCACTGAGTTGGCAGGAACAATTTACTTTCCTTTGCAACCAAAAGCCCTACTTGACAAATCATGTTAACATACTTAACTGGTAGCCAGAGTGTGGAAGTGGGGATTATATTCTTCCTGTTCATCAGGAACTACCCTGAGATCTGATCCCAGCAGGGGGAGCAAATAGGTTTCAACTCTCATGTCAACTCTGATCAATTTTTAATAGTTCCCTGGAGCACTGTGGGAGGTGAATTTGAAGCTCTGGCCACACTCAGCGGGCGAGGGTGCCATGATCAATTAGTGACCCTGCACTTGTTCCAGCATCTACCAAGGGCCTGACATGGAGCAGGTGTTTGCTAAATATTTGTTGAATGAATAGATGAAACATTACCTATCCCTGATCTTCCTTGGCTAACCAAGTTAACCCACCCCTATAGCACCTCACCTGCTCCCATCTGAAAGTCAGATCTTAAATTCAATTTCGCCCAGCAGAAATGCCAAGGAAGCTGTCTCAATGAAGACAGACACCTCTTTGGGGTCTAGGTCTCCTTTTGTTGGACACCTTGGCTGTCTTTCTTTCTTTCTTTCTTTTCCTTTCTTATTTTTCTTTTTTGAGACAGGGTCTCACTCTGTAGTCCAGGCTGGCCTTGAACTCACTACGTGGCCTAGGCTAGCCTTGAATTTGCGGTAATCTTCCTGCCTCAGCCTCCCCGGTGATGGGATTACTGATGTGTGCCACTATGCCTGGCCTTGGCCAGTTTTCTGCACTACCTACGTGTCCCCCAGCATCTGTGTGGGCCCAAACAGCTTTTAGTTTCTGGAGCTCTACTCCACCTGGATTGCTGTTCCCAGAGTCCCTGGGTCCCATCTTTGCCAGACACTCAGAGACTTGTTCTCTGGCCACCCCACTTCTTCCCTGATGCTTTCTGGACAGAGTCCAGAGCACAATACAGCATATACATGGGCGGGGACTAAACCTGCAGCTTGGCTGAAATGTAAGCATGGACCCTGATTACAGATTCAGTTCCAGAGAGTTAGCAAAATGAGCAGGAGTTATGGTGACATGCAGTTTCCAAGGCTCAATCCACATCTGTTGTGTGAGCAAGGATGTCTGTGGGCCTGGGCACCAGGTGTGCCTTTTTAAGCAAAAGCAACCTGTCTGTTTCTCAGAGACAGCAGTATAAACAGAGAAGAACTTCAAGGCTCTTTGCCAATGAGCCAGAATGCAGTCGTAGCTGCTGGAGTCTTCCCCCCACTCCTGCCTTGTGAGACTGGGCTCTACTGATCGACTGGATGCCAGATGATTTGGCTTGATTTGCCTTTCAATCCCACAGATGTTGCTCAGGGATGCATGCGGCAGGAGAACTCCATCTCCCTGGAGCCTCTTCTCTCTCTCTGGCTCCCACGCTCCCCTAGGGGCATCTAGGCAAGGGTGGGGCAATGCCCCAGGGCTCTGGAAGAAGAGCTTCCTCAGGTGGCCACATTGGCACCCTGCACGGGCCACTCAGACACGCGAGGCATCTGCCTGGGGCTGATGGGCAGGAATTCATTGCAACTTCCCTGGCTCTGTCCTTGGCACCTGGAGCGATTTCCCGGAACAGAGGGGGAGGAATATATTTCCCCTAGGAGTTATTTTGAGTACAGGATACCCCAAATATGAGAAAGATGCTCCTTTGGCCAATATGGAAATGTTCCCCTCAGTTCAATGTCCTCAGTTGCTTAAGAAAGGAAAGAACAAAAAATCATCCATTGTTTTCTCTTGGCTTTTAACTCGCGGCCTAATGAGATAATCCATCAGTATGACCTTTCCACTCCTAAGGGCATCAAGTGGGAGCTACTAAGTTACTAGCAACCTTTCTCCTTTGGAGTTTGGTTCCACAGACTATCCTGGTGGGACAGACTGGAACCCCTCCCCAAGTCCCAGCCCAGACTCCAGGATGAACACAGCTGGAGCCACCAGGGGCAAGTCCCATCCTACTACGGGCGCTCAGAGATCTTGTGCTCCTCAGACAGTACCAAGTCCCGGCCTCCGCTCACCTCCTCTGAAGACCATCTTTCCAGCGAATGGTCTGGTCCTCTCAAAGCAGCTATTCACACATGACTACCAGGCCACTTGTCTCACTGGATCGCACTGAATTAAAGAAGTCAGTTTTGCAAAGGGCCCCCATCTTGTAAGCCATAGAAACAGGTGTGTAAAGGCAACCACATCTGCAATGAAATCTAAGCCAAGCCCAGAAAGAACGGCTGGGTGGCCTCCCTGAGAGCGCAGCTGCCAACAGTGTGGACTTGGCTAGAAATGCCTAAGAACGAAGAACTTGCAGGTCATAGGCCTTTTTACAACCCACTGTTCTGTTTCCCAGACACCCAGCTGTGTCCACTGTGAAGAAGGTGATTTGCATGCCTTTGAGGCCAAATGTGATGAGACCTGGCCCAGATTGTCTGGGAGATTTGGGATCTGCCTGACAGTTTTTCTGCCCGCCCCCACGCCGCAGCCCCAGTCCTGGGCCTGGACCTCCTGCAGCTCCTCTTACTTGGAGGCCAGGACTCTCACTGCAAAATGAGGCCTGAAGCCCTTACCGGCCCAGCAAGGCTGTCTATCAGAAAACTGAAAGCTCTCCATCTGTGTCCTGACAGCCCCAACTTTGCTCCTTCCCGATAGAGGCAGGGCAGTTTCCAAAGCATCTCAGCACTGCACACATGATAATCTGCTGGGGCGCTGGCTGGTTCTGGTAGGACAAACTGCCTGGCACAGCCCACTCCAAATCCTCCTGCCCAGCTCCCAGCCAGCTCCCAGCTGCCTTCCCTCTAGCTAAAACTCTGTGTAAAGCTCCATAGTCCAGAACCAAGCCATTCGCCCCGCTTCCCACCTGCCTCGGTTTCCCCGGGGTACAGAGTCGGGTGGGATGCTGTGGTTTGCCAGCAAAGACCAGCAAAGGCGATAGAAATGCACCCAGCCTTACCTCGCAGTTGCTGGTAGCAGGATCCCTGTGGAGCTCCATGCCTGCCAGCCCCTCTTATAGCTCCACAGTGCAACTTGCGCAACTGCGGGGCAGGTCCCGGCGCAGCACTCGAGGCTGGGCAGGCTGCTGCGGATGGGATGAAGGACCCGGTGCCTCATGTGGGTTCGTGCCAGGAATCATGCACGCACTCCTGGGTGTGTCCCAAACATTTGGGGACAGTTGGCAAGAATGAGAAATCTTCGAGGTCCCACCAGGAGCAATGATTGGTCTCTGGGGACCATACTTCAGGGGGAAGGGGGTGGGCAGGGCAGGGTGGCTCTGCGGGGCGTCTGGGGGCCAAGGCGGTGTCCCTGTTGGTTCCTGCGGAAGAACGGCTCGAGCGGCCCGCGCTGCGAGGCAGCGGGGTGAGGTGGGGCTGCGGGCTGCTTCTCCCATGGTGCTCGGCCCCGACGGTCCTGTGTGCCAGGGACCACTGGATTAGAGGGGGCGGCCACTGCCCCCACCTAAAACCCGTGGAGAGGGTGCTGATCTCTCCTAGCCCTGTTCTGGAGTGCTAGAGACAGGTTCAGGGTGGGCGGTCTTCAGCTGGCACCCTGGAGACAGGCATCTCTGTAGGTGTGAGGAGTCTGCCCCCAAGACTGCGGTTCCCGAAACCATGGCCTTTGGGTGCCCTGGATGTGCAAAACGTCTTCATCTTCAACCTGGTATTTTCTTTGTACAGAGGAGGGTGTCCCAGACATGGTGATGTTTTCCTCACCTTAATCTGTGAATAGGGTGGCTTTCTCCTCGGGCTTCCATGGCGAGGAGACAGGTACAGGGAGGTTAAGACATCCCTTACAAACCCCAGCTGGTAGGAGTAGAAATGGGCCAGGAACCTGGGTACCAACAACTAGATCAGTCCTCCAGTCCCCACGGCCGAGAGCAGCTCTAACACAAACCAGCAATCATGTTAGGTAGGAGGATGCAGACAGCACCAAGTTAAGCCGTGAGTTAGAAATGGGGTTTCCACACTTAAATGATTTGGAGGGAGACAGGGACCAAAGAAAGAATAATGGTTCTGACATGTGAAAATTATAGGACATTTGCATTTCAGTGTCTACAAATAAAGCTTTGAATTTTGTCCAAAATTTTGAGGAATGTTTTTCTTTTGTGCCTAAGTCCCTGCAAAATATCTCTGATTGTGCCTTTTAGCCTGCAAAGCCTAAAATATTTGCCATCTGGCCCTTTAGAGATAAAGTTTGCTGACAGCTGATCGAGGGTACACACGTCCACTTTGCAGAGGGCACACACGTCCTCTCTGGTCCTGGCAGCCTCTCAGCCTAAGGGCTGCTCCATCCCATCCCCGGGCAGATCTCCCTGGCCCTCCCCATCCCGCTCCAGCATCGTGGGCGCCTGTCCTGGTTACTCTTCCTGCCAATCCCCTCCCCCTGGCTGGCTCAGGGCCTGGTCCGTCTCCTCCCCTAGGCTGTAAGTGAAGAACAGGGGTCAGACCATTGCTTTTGATGCCCTCTTACCTCCCTGTGCTAAACACATGCGGATATGCCCAGGAATAGTTTGCTGAAATGAATACCAGGGCTACTGCACGCCACAGAGCTGACTTTTGAAGTGTGTTAGATTATTGCACCAGGCTACAGTGATGATAGATCTGTACAGCTTGGGAAAGTAAATGTGCAGTGCTGATGAATGCGACAGGAACACAGAAAAGGAGGTTCACACCCGGTCCAGAGGCAGCTGTCATTGCCTTGGAGACTTCCTAATGGAGACCTGCTCCCCAGAAACCACAGAGGATCTGTTTTATTCACAGCAACACCCCCAGTTCATAGCCCTGTTCATTTAAAAAACATTTAAAGTGAAAATATCAAACGTACAGAGAAGTAAACAACAGTATAATGAATATACCTCTCACCCACACAGAGCAATTCTTTTCTGCATCTGCTGATTTATTTATTTATTTATTTTTGGCAAAAGCATTTCAAAACAAGTTACAAACATGAATTCCATCCCTAAATACTTTAGTACTCCCTAAAAAAATAAGAATTTTTGTATAACCACCAAACTATTATCACAGAATAGCAATTCTTTAACATCACAAAAAAGCTAGTCTTATCTAATTTCCTCAAATGTCTCAGAAATGTCTTACTAGTTGCTTTGTTTGAACCTGGTTGTTTTGCTCTTAGTAAATATTTATTCATTTATTTCATGGTGCTAGAGATCAAACGCAGGGCCTCGTATATGCTAAGTGCACGTTCTCCCACTGAGCTATACTCCCTGCCCTGGGATTATTTTTAAAAGAGAAATCTTTTACATTCCATGGAAAAGGCAGGTTTTTGTTTTGTTTGCTTTTTACTACAGGCTGTAGTACTAGTATATAACCAAGCTGCTTCTTGTCCTCAACATCTTGGTATCTGTGCTCTGAGGAATGACAGCTTGGCAGCCTGAGGGAAGTTACCTTTTAGGGGTTAGGAGGTCAGTTGGGACAGGCAGGGCTCTTGCCTGAACACAAGAAATACAAGAGATCATAATGTGAAGATATAGGCTATCTGTCTATAAACTATTTTTTTTTTTTTGCATTTGGTTGATTTTTAAAATACTGTTTTACTTTACAAATAAGTACTAGACGATAGGGTTAAAAACAAGTTTGAAAGGTATAAAGTGATATGAAGACTCAGTCTCCCCCAGGTCTTCTTCTCTCCTTAAAAGTAACTGTTATTACCAGTTTTTGCCATGTCCTTCCAGGGATGTTCTTTTTTAAAAGAAATATTGTATTTTATTTCAAGTAAGTCACCTGAGTTGCTGAATAAGCCACTTATTAAAAGTAAAATGTTGAAATACATTACTCATTCAGCAGTTGTGATCATCTATTGTGTATAGCCAATAGTCCTCACTTACAACTAACTTTAAATGTAGGTAAGTGATATTCATATTCCTCAACATTTCACCAAATTCTGTAATCAATGTATGTACATAATTGAGAGAAAGACTTCATAGAGGAGGTAAGATTTGAACCAGGTTTCAACATTACTGGTTATAACTCACTTCCTTTTATTCTTTAAAAGTGTTTTTCATTAGCATTGTTTGAAATACATAATGAATGCATTCATCATGGAGTATTGGTACATATATATATCATATCTTGATATCTTTTTCTATCCTTCATACCTGTATTTTCTTTAAAAAACTGCCCACTTACAAATGATGTCACACTAATCATGTTACAGTTCATACCCCTTGTTTTTAAATTTTTTCATTTTGGAAAATTTGAAATCTCCACATTTATAAGAAAAAATGGCATGACAAATATCTATGTGCCTGTCATTTGGCTTTAATCATTATTAATCTTACTTATTTCCCTTAATATACCTAGAACATAATTTGCTAGTATACATAGACCTGTGCTTGTCCTTTTAAAGTAGTGTGTAATCCATTTTATGGATGCACCATAATCTAGCTAACCACATTGTTACATACATACATAATATTGTAATTAATATATTTAAATATACCTATTTGAGCACTGTGAGAATATATCTGTGGGAGAAATTCTGATAAGTAGAATTACTGAGTCAAAGGGTATACGCCTTCAAAATAGAAATGTATCGCCAAGTTCTATTCCTTAGAGGTTGCACCAATTTGCATATGCAATTGACTGCAAGTAACAGTGGTTTAAGCATTAACAATATTTAGTTATCTCTTCTACCCAGGAGCCTGGAGGGAGGAGGGTGTGGGAGCCAAGTGGCATCTTTAAGAATCCTCTTTCTGATCTTCTGTGTTTCTCATGTGTCCTTGAGCTTAGTCTTGCAGTTGCAGGAGGAATTCTACTTCTTCAGGCATTGCATCTTCACACCAGCAGGAAAGGCAGGGCAGAGGTAGGCCAGACTGGGACATATGCCCATCCTTAGTAAATCCCTGGCAAAATGGAGTAGGGTAGCCATGACCAATTTAGACCAATCAGATTTCTTCCACTGGGGCTGGAGTCGATCTAGGCAGATGAAAGGAGGCCTGTCTCATGGTCCCTGATGCCTAGTAGGTGCTCCACAAATACACCCCAAATGCATGATGCGATTCTGAAGCAGTGACAGTACGAGGGGTCCCATGGGCTTGGAAGGAGAGAAGCAGCTCTTAGGTATAAAATAAATAGTATTTACTGTACTTATCTATGATGTACTATTATTACACTTCTGATAGACTTGACTTTATTATTAAATAGTAACACTTGAAAATTCTTTTTCCTCGAGTCCTGATTTTTACAATTTTATTAAAAATCATTCCAGCACTTTGGGCTTGAATAATGCTTCTGTGTTTTTAAAAATACGTAACATGATCTCATTTGGTTTTGCCAGTAACCCAGAGAAGAGGTAGAGCAGGTTATGTTTGATGCTACCCAAAGGGGCCCAAGATCCGGAGTGGTCAAAGGACTTGCCCCACAAGTCATAGGGAGACCCTGGCCAGAGCTCGTGATTTTGGTTACCTGGCCTGTCTTCGTCTTTATAGAACATTTCCTTCCTCCACACGTATGACAATGGTGAGATGCCACCGTTCTCAGTCAAGGGTCTCTGCGATCCTGAACTGATGACCATGGAGAGCTGATGGCATTGGCCACAAGGTGCGCCATGGTCTGAAGGGGGCCGTGTAGAACCCCAGGCTTTGCAGAGTGATAGGCAGCGCCCTGTCAAGGAAGAAGCAAGGCAGGAGCAGGTTAGGGCTCCAGTATGGTGTGAGGTAATCTCAAGCAGCTTTCTGTGTGTGAAAGATGCCTCTCAACTCCTGCGTGATGCAGGAATAGTCTGAGTTTTTCTGCTAATGACAGATGTTCTCCCTGCCATTATCTTTTCTTTTCTTTTCTTTTTTTTTTTTTTGTACTGGGAATTGAACCCAGGACCTCATGCTTGTCAGGCAGGTGCTGTGGCACTGGGCTATATCCCTGGCCTCTCCCTGTCATTACCTACCAGAGTTCCCTGTCTATTTCTGCATAGCACCAAAGAAAACCTACAAGTGACCAATTAATTAACTACTAATTTATCATTTGTTTATTTCTTTTGTTTGTTTATTTTTTTAGAGAGGGTCTTGCTAAGGTTGCCGGGCTGGTCTTGAACTCCTGGGCTCACT